GCTAAATATATGTTGAATTACTCAAAGACGCTGTTTGCATGTCCTCTTTAGTTCCTTTTTGCAAAACCATGTGAAGTACTCCCATTCCAAACACTGTATAAGCCACAACATTCGAATGTTACCCTATAAAAGTAGAAGTACTTATTGATCCTATTTGTTTTACAAAGGAAAATGTGCAATAGTATATGTAAAAAATATTAAGTAAAAGAACCGTTTATAATTTGTGTTATCCATTATAACCTTTCCTTGTATCAATCTTCTTCCATCTTTAAACCACTTCAGTTATATCAGGGAAATGTCACAGTATTGTAAATTATCGCTCAGAAACAATAGTTCTGCATCATCACGGCGTAGCGAATTGTGAATAATGCATGGGAATCAGTATAAAATATTCTCCTCTATTCCATGCACTATGAATATTACAGATTCGTTTGAACTATTCATGCTTATACCCTATACCCTCCGGTCGTTTAGCTATTAAGTAGCATTGGTTTGATGCACCCGAAGCTATTTATAGTCCATGAATCGCACGGTAAACGATACACTGTGCTATACTGTTATTCTACCTCAGGTCTATTCTGCCAGTGTCCGTATTTTTGGTTTTTCAATTTTTTTCATTACTGCTGACGAGACATTAATATAGGTACTGCCAGTTTTTGTACTGAAATAATGAAGCTTTTTCTTCGCAATGTATGGACCTCTATAGTTTGAAATAAAAAGGGTATGAACAAATAATGAGACAAGCACATTGGAATGAGACTGTGTCTGTAACAGTGTTTCTTTGTTTATTCGTGCATCCTCAATTTGTTTCTTTAAATTTAAGCCTTTGATAATGGAGGGGTGATACTTATTTAAGTTAGTGACGTTTCGAGCTGAAAGGCTGTACCTCGTCTCTTCTCAAAATAAAACTCTTAAAGAATAAAGAAGCTATTTTGAAGCTGAACTCGAGCAACAACACCACGACTGCCCTCAACAGTGCTTTCAACCCTCTCTTGCTTAAGAGGTCACCAATGGTCAAAATTTTCTTCCTCACCTCCTTGCCTACTGTGTACAAACCAATGGGGGTCTTGACCAATATTGACCCAAGTAATAAGCAGGCTGACAATGCATGGTTCCATAGGAGGGTTAAAAACAAACAATATGAAATTCAAAAACAGCCAACCTATGTGGGGGCATTATCACGAAGCCACTTCTGAAAATAAAATCCATGGAGTGCTGTACTTTTATCGTTTCTATTTTACACATGTCAAATATTACTCCACGATGCTTTTCTGGTAAGTTGGACCCTTGGGTATAGCGCATGGGATTGCATGTTCCAATCAATGAAGTGAGATGACCTTAACCCTAACCCCCAAAGGGCTGGTTGGGGGTCAAGTACCAAATACCACAGAATACTAAATGTGCTGTGCACACTTGTATGGAAAGAAATTAATACTACAGGTTACTATTCAATGGTATTTTGTAGCATTGGGGGCGGTTATTAAAATGTCTTTATGCTGTTGTCAAACCGTCTCGTTTATCCTCACCAAGAATTACAGAGCATGTTTTCTTTGTCGAATCTTCCTCCAAGACCCATCTTCGTGGCCTCGTGTGTCTGTGACCTTTGATCTGCCGACATCGGTTGCTTATGAGACCAAATATTTCAGGGTTCGGGAAGTTCCTCTTTGTTTGCCGTTTTGAATTAATTATAAATCTTTTTCGGTTCCGTCCTGTGAAATTTAACATTTGGTCTTTGTTCAACGTATTCTCTAATCGTTCTTGTGATCACTGAAATGCGTAAATATTGTTCTGTAACTCAAAGCTTCCAATGCATGTTATATGGTATAATTTTGTGTAACATACCCCAAATACTTATACTTTTGCAAACAGAAAATGTATTTATTTATTTGTTTCATTCCTTTACCCAGGGTATGCCCAAAATGGTTTCCATAGGGGTCCTGCATACATTATACAAATGTTATTATTAAATTAAGTTAAACAAAGTAAACCTCATAAGGAAAAGTGCATTGGTGAAACAGACGATGAACATTAATACTTACAAAAACAAACATTTCAGAAATATTACAGAAATAGAGCTGTATACACAACACAAGTTCACATTATACATGGATCCTATCCATCCAATTACAAATGGATCATCTACATCCTTTCATATATTGATTAGTAGCAACAACGGTTGCCACCAGAAATAGACGTCCCTTTCAATTTGAACTTTTGGAAGATGAATGACTTTCATTATCCAACTTTCTCCTCTCTCTTTTACCACGCTTTTACTAAGGCCAAAAAAATAAGTCTCCGGTTTCTGGTATGGAGCTTGTCCAAAAAGTGGTGCGGCGACGCGGCTTTTTTTTTTTTTACCTGACTTTTTTGCTTCAAATGTCGGCTGATGACTGCAAATGGTGCCCGACTAAACTTAGTGCAAATATATGGGAGTCCAGAGAGGCCACATAAAGCTTATTCTCGATCATAACCCCATCTAAAAACACGTTAAAATTGTGCAGTAGCAGGATTCCAGTCCAACCAGTGAGTTTGGCGGTTTTGAGACATCATCTTTCATTGAAAAAAAAACGTTTTCATTTTGCCGACGCGCATGGCTACGGCGACGCGCGCGCATACCAGAAACCGGAGACTTTTTTTTTGGCCTAAGCTTCGTGAGCCAGGGTTGACTCGAGAGTAGCTTTCTAAAAAAAAAAAAGAAGAAGAAGAAGAAGAAGGAAGACGCCACTTCCTATCCTTTATCTAATTGGGATCGTGTCAAATTTAGCGTGTAATCGCTCCGAGGAACGGGTGGACGACAGTCCAACTAATTTGAGATGCATCAGTGTTCGGTGATACTACTCCGCTGGAGCACTGATTGCCAACGAAGTGGGTTAATTAATCCAAAATTGAAACTGGTCACGTTGTTCTTTTTTCTTGTTTATTGATTGCAATGGTCAATTTTTGAAGCATAATACTGTATGGTGAGGTGTGTTGTTTTACCGTGTTTTCCTGTAATAAATAGGGGGTTTACTTTGTTTGATTGCAAGTCGTCCAGTGATAAGATACTGGTTTACCTATTGTAAAGACTGTTGTGAAGATTACATAAACTAAGTTTAAAAATGAACAATTGATCAAAATTCTTTTGCGGCCAAAGACGACAAATCATTTATAATAGCGTTTTGTCCATACATAAAATAGGCCAATGTTAGCATAGATGACTAACAGGGTTTACAGTTCAGCGTACTGTTGTAGTGGCTCGCATTTTGTGGATGACAAGCAGGAGCGATCGGATTTCTGCGATTCATAAAGAGAGAAATAATAGCCAACCAAAGGGGGCTCGAGAGTCGTCATGTCAGATCTGGGTCAACATTTATAGAGACTTGGGCTCACTTGATCAATATGCATTCACCCGTGCTCAGGTTGGACAGGTATTTGTGGTAAATCTGCATGGTTTCGTTGTTTGGGTGAGAATTTCTTCCCTAGGGATATGTTTAGCACGCTAAGTGTTCTGGTGTGCATTTCGATTCCACAATCTACATTGTGGAAAGGTTCTCAATGATGCAATGTACTGTACCACGGGGGATATTTTTGCCTTGGTAAAACTAGGCACGGAACTTGGGCTGTGCTCAAGACTATTGACAAGTGGCAGGTTACCCCTAAGACTTGTAATTAAAACCGAACCTGAGGGTTAAGGTTAATAATGGAGTGGAGCAGTTGTCCCCTCCCCGGTCCGTACTTTCTCATCCTCCAGGTGTAAGATAGACAAGCGGAATACTAGAATTGGACGTCGTGTGGTTGCATTGTGTGATTTCACTACATCATTAGTAGGCTTATCTACCATCTTTTAATTCGATAAGATCTGGACATTATCACTCGTCGTTACGCGTTAAAGGGAAGATACACAATTTGCAAACATCGAAAAACGAAATGATCACATTATCACGAAATAGCTTACTGAATCGTTAGGGAATAACAGTCAAAAGCATCCTGTAAAATCGTAGCTCCTGGTGTACTGACATTTTCAAGAAAAATTGTATTTTTCCAACGCTGGTCGGCGGCCGACCGACGTTGGAGAAAACTGGCTTTTTTTCAAAAACTGCTCCTTATTTTTCACATTTAGTTATTCCGCATTTTTTTTTGGCAATTGATCACATACCTGTGAAGGAGTACAAGCCTGCTATAGACTCTGACCTTACAAGGTCTATAAATTGCTCTGTTTCGTCGTAAGTGGGGTCAGGGAACCAGACTACAAGAACATGATTGGTTTTCTTTTTTTCCAGCATCTTCAACCCCAAAACATGAACCAGTCAGTTTAACAATATTTGCTATAACATACTTATCCTCCAAATCCATATATTTCTGAAAATTGCAGCAAAGGCAAATGTTGTACATTCCCTTTAAGCAATGTTGAGAGCAGATATTTCCCTACCCAGGCAGTTTTTCAATATCATTATTTTAGCTTGACTTTTTTTTTCTTTTTTTTTTACTTGGGTATCCGCAATACAGTAATTGTACTCCCATAAGCTACAGACCATGTCAAACTTGTTTACAAATTATTGTTGTGGTCACGTGACGCTGACTTAACCACGAAAAATCATGCCCCTCTACAGGTATATTTTTCTACAATGCATGTTCGCTATTTTGAAATATGGGGCCGGTTTTCAAAATGTGCACGTCACAGCGAGTGAAACATGAGAAAAACATGTGTTTGGTTGTTCTGTTTGTCGGTAACCGACAAGCAAGACGTCATAGATGACATGGTCTTCATTCTTCAACCTTTTCGCAACATGGATTTCGGTCAAGGTAAAACGCCACAATAGCTCTGACGTACCAATTGGTTGACCTTGCAAACAAATTCAAGCACTCGCTACACTGAAGCACTGCTACCGTTTTCAAAAACATTAACAAAAGACTTAATCGAGCAGACGTAAACAAAGGAATGCAATAGGGATTGTGCTGAAGCATGGTAAAGGGTTGAAAAGAATTGGTGGGTCACTCTGACGTCACGGGTATTGTGAAAAGGGAGTGTTGGTCAGGGTTAGTTGAGTTGTGTGCATTATATACATGTACATGTATATTGAAGCGTCGCCATTGGTACTAGCTTATACATGGGAGTCTGTAACCAATATTGTAACAGAATTACCCTGTTGCTTCAAACTCTTCGATTTGAAGATTTTCTTCGGTGATTTGCGGACTTCAGTCTCGCAACAACAGGTAGTGACAGTAAACAAATCTTGTTCGAATGCGAAATTGACTATACTCTTTTGGGTTTTTGCGAACTCGACCTTATATTCAACGATGTTTACACGCTGCCATAGAGCACCAGCAATGGTTATTTTCTGGATAGTTGTGCTGATTTTGTTTAACCTCTCAGCCTCGGTGTCGAGTCAAGGAGCAACCCTCAACATCATCCCTGAAAGAACGGATCAGCCTCGGGAAGGAGACAGTGTCACCTTGGTTTGCCAAGTTACTTCCTCCAATCCACCTGATGTAATCTTCTGGCAGAGAACGAATTTGACGTCTGGAACAGTAACGATATTCGTCGATGAAACCGGACTGAATTCAAATGCTGATGATCGGTTCTCTTTAGACCCCATAACTGTCGTCACTTCAATTGGTCCGGTGTTTTCTCAGAGAGTAACTATCAAGGCTATTCGAGAAAGTGACGAGGCTTCGTATAGATGTGCAGCGGTAACTCATGAATCGGCTTCACAGACGTTAAGGATTCACCCAGCTGATGAGTTTCCAGTTTGCTCACCCTATGGCCAGGCTACAGTGGTGAACGGCAGCCTCATTTCTTGCAGAACTGTAAAGGACTCGAACATCCCCGCCGTGACAATACCAGGAATGCCTTCGGGGGCCCCAGGTTGGATCACGAGTAACTCTATGATTGGACAGAACGAAGGTACAGAACTCACTCACACGGTGAACACTTCGGACAATGGAACAACTTTCACCTGTGCCGCAATTGGTAACTCACCAATGGCATTGGCTTGTAAGATTGGCCCTCTGAATGTGATTACAAATGACGTGGGCGGGGGCCTTTCTTCAGCTGACATCGCTGGAATCGTAATCGGTTCTATTCTTATCCTCATCATCATTGCCCTGCATTTTCTGTGTTGTCGCTGTACCCCGCGGAGATGGAAGCGAACCAAGTCGTACCTCCTGGACATCGGCAGCAGCTCCTTCGGAACATCAAACCGTCGAGACAACTCGGCACCGGAGCAGCCAAACTCTGTGGAGCTGGGCAATTCTCAGCTTGCCAGCGATGACGTGCCGCCATCGTACGAGTCCGCAACGGGGAATGAGGAAACAGAAGCGGTTAGCGATTCACCTGTGGTAGACGAACGAGATCCACCTGCGACTTCTGATCTCCATGAGGTGTCATCTAACCAGCCTGAGCAAGGTGTAAACGTCTACGTGAATGCGAATGTGATGAGCCCTTTCTTCGCAGGCGATAAGGCCAATCCAATATATGATAATGCAAAGGTTTCCCCAGTCAGGCAAAACAACGGGGACGATTCTGGTGCAGGACCCAAGCCGAAAGAGATCAAGCGGTTCGCCATCAATCGCAAAGGAAAGATGGATAAACCTATTGACCCAGACGCTGCCATCTCTGATTCACCGGACGGAAATGAATTTAAAAAGGATCCCTCTGTGATCTACGCGAAGGTGGACAAAACGGCGAAGCGTTCCCCGCATTCTGTAGACACCAGGGAGGATTCCGGAGCGGGAACAACTTCCAAGAAAATCAAGAGATTTGCTCTGAACAGGAAAGTCAAGGTGGAGAGAGCTGCCTCCCCACCCAAACCAGAACCGGTGATCGTGTACGCTGAGTTGGACCTTCATGAAAATCAGGACGGTGTCAGGTCACCCAAAGAGCCCCGGACAGAATACGCTGAAATTAAACGTTGAGATATGTTGTCTGATATGCGGTAAAAGACTCTAACGTTACGCCTAACTATTTGTGACTGGCCAGCACCTCCCTCAATCCTGCAAAAAATGTATATTATGTCAAAATATGTATATAATGTATATTATGACCTGTATATTATGTCAAGATGTCTGGGATGGGTACTTGTTCTATGGTACTTTTGGTTTTCCTCTGACAGTGTGGCGTAGCCAGCGGGGAGGGTAAGGGGGTATTTACCCGCCCATCATTTTGTAACGAGTGCCCTTTTTTAAGCCCTTTTTTTTTACGAGTGCCCTTTTTTAACGAGTGCCCCTCTTTGGAATGCGTGCGAACGTCGTTTCATATTGCCGCCGTGAAAAGCGCCATCTCTTGTCCGATAGTGGCATGACCATCTGCTATGAACAGCGCCCCCATAAGAAGATTGTGCCAAGACGCCACGCCCCCTCCCCGCTTTTTGATATTACGCAGGCCGGGTGACCGGTGGGGACAAACATAAACAAGTGCGAGTGCACAATAAGCTCTGGTCGTGTTGCAAGAAGTCTTGTATGAAAGTCTGGCAAGAAATCGATCAAAATGATCCCTGCCAGAGCCAAAAACAAAAAAAAATGCGGCGCCGAAAATGCGACGCCGATGGCACATAATGGACACCATACCTTTGGTCAAATTGGTCAATTTTCGGGAACGGACAGATAGACAGACAGACAGACCACCAAGTGGCATGTAGAAGCTCCTCCCAGAGCTTCAGAACCTGTCTATTTTTTTGCACGGTATGGATGATGAGGCGCGTACCTTTTTTACGTGTGCCCCCAATAAAAATGTTCTTGCTATCATCAGTAAACGACACTTATCGCTGGTTACTTCTGAAGTATTACGCGATTATTGTTCGCTTATACATTTTTCCTTGTTTGGTATATATGTTTTGTATATGCTGTATAATCAAATGTTTTAATTGGTGAATAGTGTTATATTAAACATATTTGATTTTTAAATACAATTTCTTAATCTGGGAAATTCAAGACCTTCAGGAAATATTCAGTAAGATTAGAAGCACTTATAATTGCAGCTATTGATAAAATATTCTTGTTAAAAAAGTTTTTATTGTACAGGTTAAAATTCCATATGTTTTCGACTTTTGACAGTTTTTCATTCGAACATATGAATATTTAAGCAGCCTGGGAGGTTTTTTATTTTATTGACGCACCGCGCAATTTTTTGAGCAAATTTGAGTGAAAATAAACATTAATTTGCAGTTATTCGTTCACACACTTTGACTATATAACTTATTTCTCTTTACTTAAAGTGATCGTATGAAAATATGAAAAAAATATCATGATTGATATAATATTTCGTTTGACAATAACCATTGGGAAAGAATGTAGTATCGAGTGGTCTTTTGATAGTTGAGTGCATTTTCAAAGTATTTTTTTTAACAAATTGGAAATGTTTCATATGTCTTTCAACATTTTTGCAAAGACTGACCTTCATTTTGATAATATATGATGAAAACAAAGTGGTGTCAGGATGCAACATTCTTTCCATATTGGGATCGATCTTCAACTATAAATGTCTTCCAACGGGAACAACTCTTGGCATTAAAATAAAACTTTTACATATCGTCAGTGCGTGTTGTGGCATGCATAACAAGCAATGCTGATACACTCAACTAAAACAGAAAGTCCCACCTTCCAATACTTTTTCTTACTCAAAAACTGAGCATCTCTCGCCCAAATAACGACTAATCAGTACAGAAATTCCATAGCAATCCAGCCATACTCTTTGTTTGGCCCAAAACAGTGATAATGTGTACGAGTTTATGCAATAGATGAAAAATGATACCGAAATAGTTGCACTTTTGTACACTCACTCTGCACGTATACAAAAAGTGCAACTTTTTCGGTACCATTTGTCATAAATTGCATAGTTGTGTACACATTATCACTGTTTTGAGCCAAACAAAGAGTATGGCTGGATTGCTAAGGAATTTCTGTACTGATCAGTCGTAATTTGAGCAAGATGTGCCTTGTAGTTTTTGAGTTAGACAAACAAGTATAAAGGGGGATTTTTTGGGGGTTGAGCGTATGTGAAGAAACCCGTGAGCAATGCGTGTTGGGGAAGTGGTCCAACGCTTGGCCGGCTGTCAGTGGGAATTGAAAACAAATGAATGGCGCCCCCAACTCTGACGGGGGCGCACTTCACAATGCCTAGGTTGAATACCATAGCTTCGTAATAAAAACGGAGGAGATTCGGTTGATTGATCACTTGTCATTGTATTTGTCAGCATTAAAATCGAAAGTACTTGTGAGGAACAAAACAGCAAATGTTTGTCCAATGACAAATCTAATGACAAATCAATTAATAAGCCGGATTTTCACATTTCCTCACTTAATGACAGACACTCCGTTAGAACTATCACGTTACATCTTAAGCCCATTTCATGCAACGTTACTGGCAGAATGAAACCAAACCTGATTTTTTGCTCAGTGCTGCTTTTTGCAGTCTATGCTGTCCGTCAGGTCTCGTGTTTTAGCACTTCAGGACTTACGGCTCAATCGGAAATCTCCGCTGAGATTTATCCCATTAACAGTGAGGTGCAGCAGGAGGGGGCTAGTATTAGTCTCATATGTAGTGTCGTCAATGTGAACATGGACAGACATATTGTCTCCTGGACAAGGAGAACACCGACGACCATGTTCATCGTTTCATCCAAAGATATGGAGGTGCATTTGGAGCGGCATGAGATAAGTTCCAAAAACGACACATTATCATCTTCCTTTGTTTTCAATTTGACCATTAGTGGAGTCAATCAGTCGGATGCTGGCACTTACAGGTGTGATTTGGCCGAGAGAGTGACAGGCGGCAGCAGTACCTTCAGTTCGGTACTACGAACCGACCTGACTCTAGAGGTGTATCCTGTGGAGGCTTTCCCTATCTGCAGTCCAAGTGGTGAATCTGTAGTCGACATCGACACTGAACTTCGTTGCCGAACAACTGGCGAAGCAATCCCAATTATTACCGACAGTGATGGCGGATGGATCCATCAGATTGGGCAACATGGAAAAGATCTTACGAAGAATGGAACATTTTCCGACAATGGAAAAACGTTCACCTGTATTGCCGCGATAGATGCCTCTCCCAAGAATCTGTCCTGCAGTGTTGGCCCCCTTACCGTCAGAGTGCCGAGAAAGAAGGTAGCGACCACGCAGCTGAACCCTACCAGGGAGTCGGAAGGTCCAACAGCCGGACCGACACCGGTAATGAATGGAGAACTCTCGGTCGCCCTTATAATTGGAATTGTGACCACTGTTTTTGTGATACTCATCGTAGTCGTTCTTGTCAACATCCTGTGCTGTCGATTCGAGCCTAGCAGGTGCCGGCGGCTGATCGGCTTTTGCACCTGTGCCTCCGCCGACGACCAGGAACACTATCCCAAAGGAGGGTTGAGTAACCAGAGAAGTTCCCACGTTTACGAGAGCAGGATTGGCAACCCCATCTATGACGAACCAGGGAATGGTGTAAATTCAATCCAGAGCATCCATGTAAACTCAACACCGTGAACTTATCCATTAATCAGGTTGGAAATTGTTTAAGATGAGCTGATACCGTATATTGCCGAAATTGTCGACAATAAACTGCTTACTGACACTTGTTTTTCAGTTGACATTTGATTTCAGTTGGATTTAAGTCAATTTGCCAATTAAACACAACACAATAAAGGGAGTGCTTAGTGTATATGATGTTAGATGTATGTTATATTACAAACAAACCTAAAATGCACCCCCTTTCAACCTGGTGCTGGCACACTGATCTATCATATTGGTCAATTTCCGGTGAAAGTTTTGACTTGTGTTGTCGTAAATTCCATATTCTCATTTCCCCTGTGTCGAGTTTAGTAAGCGGTGGAAACATATAAATACACAGATTATTGAAGTAAATAGAAAAAAACTTTTCGCGGCCACGACGAGTGGGAGTAATAATAATGCACTGTAGTACATAATCATATGGCAACCATTGGTTAAGTCCATTCCATAAATAGTGGCGCACAAAGTACGTAAGAAGTACAGCGAGGCGCCACCAGCGGTGATATCGAGCCAACTTTAATACACTGAATTAAACCAGTGTAGAGAGTGGCGAACGAGTGTCCATTATTAACAAGACACTGGGCGATGGAAAGGGTCAAAATAAGGCTCAGGTGAATCTAATTTGTCTGATGTATGGATCATGAGGAAGAAATTGTGTGCCTTTCGATTGCGTAATTTATATGATATTCTTCCTTAAAAGTTTATTCATTAATTAAGTGAACCTATTAGTTTTTTTTCGCATCTTTAAACAGTAGCTGCATTTTAAGTATTAATATTCCTGCCCTGGTTTCAAATAAGAAACAGTTTTAGCACGATTGGAATTGAAGGCCCTGGCAATTTATTTAAAATCACTGTAACAGGTAAGACTAAATTTGAATGCTTCGTTTAGTCCCTGACTGTGTTTGTCATATTTGCTACTATGAATGGCATGATTACGATATTTCTATTCATTGGGCGAAGATTCTTGACAGAGTTCTAAGTTCATGTTGCAAAATACCTCTAACAAAGGAAGTTGAGTGGGTAATAAATGTGCCCAAAGTGATTATCGTACATGTACAAACTCTGGACTTTGCACGTTGTTTCCAAGCTGCCAAACAAAAATGTTTTTATTAGGCCAAAAAAAAAAGTCTCCGGTTTCTGGTATGGAGCTTGCCCAAAAAGTGGTGCCGTGACGCGGCTTTTTTTTTTTTTTTACCTGATTGTTTTGCTTCAAATGTATGCTGATGACTGCAAATGGTGCCCGACTAAACTAAGTGCGAATATATGGGAGTCCAGAGAGGTCACATAAAGCTTATTCTCGACCATAACCTAATCTAAAAACACGTTAAATTTGTGCAGCAGCAGGATTCCAGTCAAACCAGTGAGTTTGGCGGTTTTGAGACATCATCTTTCATTGAAAAAAAAAACGTTTTCATTTTGCCGACGCGCATGGCTACGGCGACGCGCGCGCATACCAGAAACCGGAGACTTTTTTTTTTGGCCTTAGATACCCTTGAGCAGGATGTGTATAAACTTATAAAGTTTACAGTGGGAAAACCTGATTTTTTTTATCAAATCAAAGGCTGGTCATTCAAGGCGAAACGTGAACGAATCTTTTAAGCTTTTGGGATTACAAATTAGTGAGAAGGTGTGCGCAGAAAAAGATCGATTCGTAATCATGCGCAAGTCAACTCAACCAAAGGGGTCCACCATGAACAAGTGGATTGCTGTTATAGTTCTGTTGGCGCAACTCACAATTTGCACTGCAAGTGGAAAATCAACACCGACAATCGTATCTGCAGAGGTTTTCCCCGACGATGGAGTACATGAAGAAGGTGACAGCGTAAGTCTGGTCTGCCAGATATCTGACTTCAGCGCCACTCCATATAGCGTTGTCTGGACTAAAGTATTGCCAGAAAAGATCTTCATCGTGTCCTCTGAAAATATGTTGGTTCCAGACTACCGATACTCAATAACCCTCACTAAAGTCCAGGTACCGGCTGCGTTTGTTTTTAATCTCACCATTAATTCCATAAGAGAGTCCGATACTGGGATGTACGGGTGTCACATATATGAGAGGAGAGGATGCGTGTTTCATCCGATAAAGAGGTCAACAGTAGTTCTGACTGTTGTGAAGACGGAAAACAATGAACCTACCACTCAAGAAGCTCCAACATCATCAGCT